TGGGGATTCAGACTTCAGGCCCAGGCTTTTCTGCATACCCCCAGGCAACATGAAGCTAACAAGCTACAGAACACTAGGCCACCTGGAGGAACACAAAACCAGGATGCCAATGGAGACTGTGGGTAGAGAAAAACAACCCAGCTCTCCCCACAAAGCTATTCCAGAAGTTAAACAAGAGACAGGGGCTCCTGCACTAGGGTGACAGAATTCATGGGAACATCAAGAGGTTAGTGACCCAGAGACCCGTGAGGGGTGAGGACAGATAGGATTTGACCAGTGAGGAAAAACCGACAGACTCTGGCTTTGTCCGTGACTGGAAGGGTGTTGGATTTGGAAGAGCCCATGGAGTAGGCTAGAGGATATGTCCCAGCAGCCATCAGCTCTGTAGGTCTGGACATCTGTCAGAGCCTTCTGTAGTCTGGGTCTTCTAAACATATGCGCGCTGCAGGGCAAGGCAGAGCCCTCCTCCTCTCTGTTCTCTAATGGCAATTAAGGGAAGACTCTGGAAAGCGAGAGGAGTCATTAAAGTTGAATGGCAGCTAGAAGGGCGTTCTAGGGCTCCCTAACACCCTCCCTCCCACTCCCCCGCCCCTGCTGCCTGGGCAGGCCATCAAAGGAGGAGATGATGAGCCATGGAACCACCCCATGAGGAGTCCTACAGCATCAGAGCCTCTTTGCCAGTGCGCCTGACAGCTTCTAAACAAGCGCCAGCTCGAATTAACCTCTCTCTCTCTCTTTCGCTGCGTCGCGCCTCAGTAGGTAACCAGGTGAAGGATGCTGGATTCAGGGCCAGCCAGAAGGAACGGTGATTTTCTCCCCCGACCCAATCTGTTTCCTTGGATTCTGAGTCTGTAAGGTCATATATATGTTGTAAGTCCCAAGCCTCCATCTTCAGCAGGAGCCTTGAAGTTAGTCTCGGCATAGAAAATCATGGGTGCGTTCAGTGCTGCAGAAGAGGGATAGGGAGTTTGTTTTCCTGGGCTTGATGCTGAGGATGAATGTCAGGCAGGGCCTCTGAGACCAAAGTGCAGGGTAATTATCACCCCTCCACAACTACACTGCAAGAGTCAGTGCACAATTGATTTTTTTTCCCTACCACAGATATTTCATTGTTTAATTGGTAGTGACACAGATGGCTGATTCTCACCAGGGTATCTAAGGTACAGCCTCCTGCAAGCTAGTCCTGGGAACTCTCTGCCTCTCACATTCTTAGGTAGGGCTCAGCACTAGTCTTAACTTTCCTGTTTTCTTTTTCAAAAAAAAAAAAAAGTAAGAGTGGGATTCAGAAGTCAGCCATGAACTGGCCAGGAAGTCCTAGGTGACCCTGATCTGGACATGAGAGAGTTTAGCAATGAGAGCGGGCAGTGGACTGTGGCCTCAGAGGGCACTGGCATGAGAAGGTGGTCAGTTATGGCAGGGATGTGGAGGTCAGAAATACTCTCTGTCCACCTTTACATGGCTTCTGGGGATCAGACTCAGGTCATCAAGGCTGTGTCCGCCTAGATGAAGAGAGCTCTCTGTGGGACCGTGCAGCTCCTCTGCCACTGTAGCCGTCCTATCTATACTGTGTCATCCCCACAGGAGGACTCAGCATATGTGTTGTTTGGTTGGTTGACCTCACATGCAAAAGAACTGACATACCTTGTAGTTCACAGTTCACTACTGTCATCAGTCAACCAAAGGTCCTCTCCCATCTTCCCTTCCTCATTTCCTCCCATTCCTTTCCCCTCTGCTCAGTGTAAGTCCTTGGACATGTTTATATCTTAGAAAAATAGACAGTATTATAAGACTATAATATTATATAAATGGTATTAGGCTATAGATTTTACTATCATATTTTCAACATATATATTGAAACAGTGCCTCTTGTAGGCTAGGCAGTCCTGGAAGTTGTTTTGTGGCCACGGATGACCTTGAACTTCTGATCCTCCTATGTCTTAATGCTGGGATTACAGAAGTGAGCCACCACTCTTTTAGGAGTAACTAACTGAAGAGACGGCTCAGCAGGTAAGAGCACTTGCTGCTCCCACAGAGGACCTGGGTTTTGTTCCCAGCACCCACATCAGGCAATTCACCAGCACCTGGAACTTCAGGAGATGATGTGTGCTCTCTGGCCTCCTCGGGCACGTGCATGTATGTGGTACACTTTAGCTCCACACGTACACAAACAAAAGAAGGCTTAGAAAAGATGTAAGAACTGAACATGGAACTCATTTGTTGCTTCAGTCAGCCGTGGAACATCTTACCCTATGCCTGTTTCCTTACCTTGTCTTCTAGAGAAAGACATCGAAATTGTTGCCAGTTCTTTCCCAAGGGGAGCTGCAGTGAGTATCTCTTTCCCTCTTCCTTTATAGACCTGTGCCTAGCTCCAGGAGGGTCCCTGGCTGCTTGGCCTGGTGTGCTTCTACTGTCTCAGAGCATACACTGGAATCTAGAAAGCTCTTCCACCACACCCAGCTCATATTTTACTATTCCTTAAATCTCTGCCATACCTGTAATTAATTCTTCTTTTCACTCTCCTCTTTCTGCCAGTCTCTAGATTTTGTCTGACTTTAGTCTTTTCCGAGAATAGGTTTTTTTTTATTTGATGTTTCTAAAATAGCATGCAGCCAAGAAATGAGAAATGTGGTCTTGGATCAGACCCTGTACCAGCTGTGTGACCTTGGGTACCAGCTGTGTGACCTTGGGCACCAGCTGTGTGACCTTGGGCACATTACTTGGCCCCTATGCATTTACTTTCCTCAGTTGTGAAATGGGAGTAACAGTCCTTCCCAGCGGAGTAGCTGTGAAGAATCAGATCAGAAAAGTTACCCAAAGTGCATGAGTACTTGGGGAGTATTTCGTGTATGTTCACACCCATCCTTGTGTGTGTGTCTGTGTGTACACAGAGATGAGAGAGAAGCAACCTTTTCTAGTTGATTTTCTTGGCTTTTGGTGGTATCATTGGGTGATGATGAAGATGCTGCCGCCCCCAGGATACATCAGCCCAGGTTGGACATGAACTTTCTGTGTATACAAAGATGTCCATGAACTCCCATTCTCTAGTCTCCACCTTCCAAATGCTAGGATTACAGGTATGCACCACCACACTGGGCTGGAGAGAGTACTTTTTAGATGAAAGTCCAAAACCTCAGGGTAAGCCAGTAGGCTAGAGATCTAGCGGAGGGCTGTAGTCCAAGCCCCAAGACACGTGGCTTACACGTGGCTTTTCTTGTTCAGGAGAAGCTGGTCTTTGTCTGTGAGGCCTTAGACGGGTTGGAGAATGCCCCACACGGTAGAGGGGAGTCTTCTCTAGTTAAAGCCCCAAATATACCTTCAGAAACATCCGGGATGGAGTTTCACTAAACGTCTGGACTCTGTGGCCCAAGCCAAGTTAACTTAAAATGAAGGACCTCAGGTTGTCTTGCTGGAGCAGGCCTTTTGTCAGAAATGTTCACTTTGCAGGTCTCACAAAGCAAGGAAGGCGCATTCCCCTCAGCTGGGCCGGGGTGCTCGGCGCCAGGGCACGCCCGCATATAGCAGCCCAGCCAAGTTCCCCGCTCGGTCCTCCCTAATACTTCCTTCTCCCTGTTTCTTTCCCATGGCACCCTAGGACATCCTGTTCACTGTGGTGCTTGCTTGCTGCTCCCCCTTGCCTGGCCAGAAGCAGTGCCTGCCGGTCTCCCGCCGCACACCACATGTCACCTGCCTAACTATCTCTTTCACCTTACGCCTCCGTCACTTTGTGTAAGCGGCTTATCATCATCCTGTGGCAATTGTAACTTACCTGTCTTTAGATCGTCACTGTGCCTGCGGGGGGCCAGTAATCACCATGTGCTTGTTAATGATTGGCAAATGAAAGAGCCAGGGAGAGTGCTAAGTGACATTGTAGGAAGCGTGCGGATAGGGAGGCCCCAGAGGCTGGACTCCTGGTGGAGTGTCAGTGACGGTGGGGATGTGCCAGGGACAGTGTGATGGAAGCCTATTGAACTCACCGTTGCCCAGCATTGCTCTAAGTGCCAATGTGTGCCACTGAGTCATCAGCACTTTGAGACAGGGGCCCTTATTAGCTCCATTTTCCTGCCAAGGAGTCCAGGGTACTAATGAGGCAGGTATAGAGTTGGCCTGGCTGAAGAGTCTGTATTGTCAGCTCCAGTCGATTGAGGACTCACTATGTGTGGGGGTGTGCAGAGCTTTGTATGCCTTCTCGTGCACCCTCAGGGCAAATACATAACGTCTAAGGCATGTCCACTTTGCAGATGAAGAAGTGGGCTTACAGAGGTCTAGTATCTTGCGTATGGTCATATAAGTAGAAGTTGGTGGGTCTACAGTGTTAGGGGCCCACAAGAAAACCCTTAGAGATGGGATGGGAGATGGTCTATGCAGGAAAATGGAAGCAGCTCAAGTTAAAAAACTGGGTCTTCCCTGGCGTGAAAAAGGCTTCTGCTTCCAAGGGGACCAGTCAGGGCTGGGCTTGTATGAGAGGGCTCCTAAGCACTGTTCTTAATTTAATGGTGAGAGGGGAGGGAAGGCTGAACATCAGAGGTCAGGGGTACCTGGCCAACTGAAGCTCTACAAGCATCAGCACCGAGGACTCACGGGACTTTGCACAGCTGCAGAGAGATAGAGTGCCCAGGCCTGCTGTTCATGAAGATCTGTGGCTGTGGCTCCTCTGCCATAGTACCTCCTCATAGCAGGCAGGCAGGGGGTAGCAGCGACAGCTCTTTCCAGACTCCCAGTCCTTTCCTGATAAGGCTTCTGAAGAGTTCTGGAAATTTCCAGAGTGGGCTGGGGTTTATCCGAGATGAAGTACCAGCAACGGGGGCCTGCACCCTCAGGCTCTTCACTGGAATTCAGTGTGCTCTGAAATGTGGGTGCCTGGAGAACCCAGGAGTGGTGGCAGGTAGGGTTTTTGACTCTTGGCCATCAGTTGCTCTCAGGCAAGGTGGTCCTCTCTGGGCATGTGTGTCTCAGAACATTTATCAGTCCCAACATGGCTCAGCAGCACCTTCTCTGTTCAGGTCATTGCTGTGGTCATGGATCTTTTCACTGATGGGGATATATTCCAAGACATTGTGGATGCTGCCTCTAAGCGCCGGGTCCCTGTATACATCATCCTGGATGAGGCAGGAGTGAAGTACTTTTTGGAGATGTGTCAGGGCCTGGAGCTTGTAGACTTCCGCATTCGGGTGAGTTCATCCCTGGGACAGGTTGTGGGCCCTTTCCTCCGGCTCTTCCTCCTTCCTCCTCCCAAGCTCAGGGGCTCAGACTGATGTTCAAGATCCCGGTATTTTTCCTTCTATGTGAAGCCATGACTCAGGAACTTGTAACTGCTTACATATGTATCCTGGAGCTGCTTATATGTCCTAGAGCTGCTGAGGCTGGAGGAGGCAGCTCTGACCCGGCTCTGGGGTGCTCAGTGCATAGCACTGTCAGAGTCAACACAGCGCTATAGATTTCTGGTGGGGAACTTTGAGTAAGAACACCCCAGGCTTGTTGAAAGTAAACTATGCCAGGCTGAAGGAAGCAGAGGATTCCTTCAGCAGTCAGGGTCTATGGGCCTCTCCCAAAGCAAGGCCTTGGTGCAGGGCCTCAAGGTTTCCCCAGACAGGGCAATGGTGTCTTTCTCCTCTTCTCAACAGAACATCCGTGTCCGCTCTGTGACAGGAGTTGGCTTCTACATGCCCATGGGAAAGATCAAGGGGACTCTCTCATCGAGGTTCCTGATGGTGGATGGGGACAAAGTGGCCACTGGATCTTACAGGTGTGTTGGGCCAGGCGTGGGGAGCACCCAGAAGACCTGTATGGGTGGTAATTGTTCAGGAACGGGCTCTCCTGGAGCTTCCACAGTCACAGGTTTTAAGAGGCATTGTCTGTCCTGATCGCAGACCCCTACCTGGTTCCTTTCCCCAGACTTTCTGTTGGTGGATGGATTATTCCAGAGGGAGGAGCAACTCTTCCTAGGCATTAAGCATTGCTGGCTTGTCACCGTCCTTGGCAGCTGGTTGTACTTTGAGGATGGTTTTGGGGTGGGAAAAACAGGAGGTGAAAGGGAAAAGATCTGGGAAAGGGATGTGAGATCTTGTCTTAGTTACTTCTCTATTCCTGTGACAAAACACCATGACCAAGGTGCCTTACAGAAGACAGCATTTAATTTGGGGACTTACAGTTCCAGAGGGTTAGAGTTCATGACTGTCATGGCAGGCAAGCAGGCAAGCAGGCGTGGTGCTGGAGCAGTCATTCAAATAGTTGAGCCTATGGGGGCCATCCTCATTCAAAGCACCACAGATGTGACACAGAGCAATGACTCCAGGATTTGAATTGAAAAGCAAAGTACCAGGTACAGGAGAACCTGTTTGTGAGCCATCTTTTTCCTCTGAGAAAGTGAAAATCTAGGTGAGACTTGAACACATTGTAGCAATGAGTAAATAAATGATCCCAGTCCTCTTCTGCAGTTAAAGTCTGGGCTTTGCAGACACTGTGCACCCTGGGAATGATCGGTCGGGGTAGAACAGTGTATCAGTGGCAGAGCTTAGTTGCTGTGTTGTACAAGTATTGCATGTGTTTGTCCGAGGTATTTAGCTGGTTATTTCATTTGAGCCTCTAAGCCTTGAGTTAAGAGCCTGCCATCTCCCTGTAGCATGTTCTGCCGTAGGTCCTACAAGCCACACGGTACAAGGTACAGGACAAGGTAGCTGTGGATCCAGGTCTGAGTTCTCAAGCTCCCTGGGAAGGAAAAGGAGGGCACCAAGCAGTGTGTCCACAGTGACAGGGCAGGTTGAGGCCAGGCAGTGGGGGTTAGGACACAGTGTTGAAGGACACTGGCAAGGTCTTGGGCCATCCTTGTCTCTGTTTTTCTGTCCCCAGCTTTACTTGGAGCTCCTCCTATGTGGACAGGAATCTTCTCTTGCTCCTGACAGGGCAGAACGTGGAGCCCTTTGACATAGAGTTCCGGGAGCTGTATGCTATCTCTGAGGAGGTGAACTTGTACCAGCACCTGGGCCTGGCAGGCTGGCGTGGCCTCAACTACTCCTCTACTGTAGCTCGCAAGCTCATCAATCCCAAGTACGCCTTAGTGGCAGGCAGCCGCCCTCCTCCAGGAGAGATGATGCGCTGGGCCGCCCGGCAGCAACGGGAAGCTGATTCAGAGGGACAGGAAGAGGGCAGTAGCGGTGGTGAGTCTGCCCGGCGTCTCGAGAGCTTTCTGAATGACCTGGTCACAGTAGAGCAGGTACTGCCCACAGTGGAGCCCATTCCCTCGAGACCGCTGAGACCGAAGGATGGCGGGATGGTCTCTCACATGCACGCAGACCTGAGGCACAAGTCCCGAGAGGCACTCCCCCAGAATGGCAAAGGAGAAGCTGCCAATGGAGAGGCCACCCCAGCCAAGGAAAGCAGGCGCTTCAGCAGCAGGTTTTTCAGCCGACGAGTGAAGAGGCCGGCAGTGCCCAACAACATGGCCAGCTCCCCTTCCACGGAGACTTTTGCCGATGTGGAGTTTCCTCTGGGGAAGAGGCCCAACGACGGTTCTAGTGCCAACATGTCAGGTGAGCCACACACATGGCCCTTAGAGACGATCTGCCTCCCAGCCTCGGGGGAGAGCTTGCCGGCAGGAAGCAGGCAGGAGCTCCTGGGTCAGAAGGGCCTCCATTCCTGGTCTAGCTCTGCTCGCTGAACCGGGTGACCCTGAGCAAGTCACTGCAAGTCCAAGTTTCAGGTTCCCCCTCTCTGAGAGGGAGGAGTGAAACAGGCCTTGCTTGGTGTGCAGCACCGCAGTGGGCACAGGACGGTCTGTGAGGACTCTCACTCCTCGATGGTATTCAGATCACCTTCATAGTAGCTCAGTGAAAGAAGTGACAAGCTTTCATACACGAAGAACAAACAAAGCTCAGCCCTGGCTGGGAGTCTAGGGCTGTGAGAATAGGCCACCCTATTCCCTGCTGCCATCAGGATCTAACCTGGTCAGACATACCCCACTTTCACCCACTGATGCCCTCAGCCAGCTTCCCAGTTTCTGTGGTAAGTTAGAACTGTTTTCCACCTGTCTGTTTGGAAATCAGATTTGCCAGCTGGGTGAGGTAGTGCATGCCTATAATCCCAGTACTCAGGGAGGCAGAGGCAGGCGGATCACTGTGAGTTAAATGGCTAGCCTGGTCTACAAAGTGAGTCCAGCACAGTCAAGGCTACACAGAGAAACCCTGAGAAAAACAAAACAAAACAAAAAACAAACAAAAGAGAAAGAGAGAAAGAGAAAGAAAGAAAGAAAGAAAGAAAGAAAGAAAGAAAGAAAGAAAGAAAGAAAGAAAGAAAGAAAAGCAGATTTGTCCTCTAGGAGAGATTGGTGATGCAGTGACGTCTTTTCTAACCATCTCCCTAGATCTCCTTGAAGCCTTGTCTTTTTTCTTTTTCTCCAGAGCAGTCCCCAGTATGACCTTTCAGGAGCCTGGTGGTGACAAACAGGCTGCTGTGGAGCCTTGCTCATCTCAGCATCCCTGAGTTGGGAGGGCTCTGTGCTGGGATTTTTCCTTCTATGGTTGTAGGGCTTTGCAGTGATGAGAGCTGAGCTTCCTGGCTAGCCCACTATGTGAAAGCCGATTGTGATGTGTCTCTCCTAAGCAGCCCAAGGGCTCCCGGGAAGCAGGTATCCTGTAGCCCTGTCTTTGACCTGATCAGGACCTAGAGCAGGGAAATCACCGCTTTTCTTCTGACTAGAAGCACTTCCTGTCCTGTTGGACCCAGGAATGCAGCTGCCTCTTAGGGCGGGTCTGGGGTCTCTGTGATGTGGCACAATATGAGCACCCCTCTGCCCCCAGTGGGTCTGCAGCTCCTGAGCAGCTCAGCAGGCAGTGGGTCTGCACTTCCTGAGCGGCTCAGCAGACAGGTTCTTCATGGGGACTTTGTTTCTCCTCACGCTCATGGCGACTCTGAGTCCAGATGCAGGTGGAACCCAGGAGAAGCACATTAAATACAGGACATGGAAAATGTCTGCAGGCCAGACTCAAAGCCAGGCCTGGACCTTGGCTGTCAAGGGAGGAGTGACTGGTCCCCCATTCCCCTGGGGCATCCCTGCCTCCCCAGCACCAGATGCTCTTTGCCTCTTATTTGGAAGGAGGGTTGCCATGGTGAACACCTGGCAAGGAAGAGGAGGGGGTGAGCCCAACCACAAAGGGGCTGTTTCCCAACTCCTGACTGGAAGTGAAGTGGAAGCTATCTCTTCCCAGCCCCTCATCCTGAGGCGCTGTTTCCATAGAAACGCAAAGCCCATTGTCTTGTCCCTTCCCCATGCCTCTGGTGTCAGATTCCCCTGCTTAGATGACTTGGGCAGTTAGTGTTTGCCTCTGCTGCCTGTCTTGGGGCACCCTAGGGCCAACGAGCAGACTCCAAAGCACCCAGGGCCCTGAGCTGAAGAAGTGTGTCCCCCATCTAGCCTGAGGAGGAACATAGAGGTGGTACCCCCACATACCTATCCTGCCACCCCAGCAAGGCCCTGAAATCCCAGATCTCTGCTGAGACCTCTGGCCTCTGTTTCACTCTTGCTGAAAGGCAGAGATGAGCAGGCTGAGTTTCTCCTTGCAGAGGCCCTTCCTACACCTTCTCTGCCTCCTAAGTCTTAGGTTCAGGGGCCTCTGGTGCTTTCTGGTGGCAGCCACTGAGCAGCTGACGACACACCTCACACACAGCAGGGGCCCCCATCCTGGGAGAGCTAGAACTTGAGTTGGGGTGGAACCACTTCCTCAGAGAAGGAATCCATCCAGGGAAGGAATCCCCTTCCCACTGGGAGCATTCAAGCTGCAGCCCACAGTGGTGGTACAATCATCACCCTCCCCTCTCGGGGCTGTCTCCTCTTCTAGCTGGGAGGGCTGCTGAGGTCCTCCTGAGTTGATGCCAACAGTCCTATCTGTCGCTGCACTCTCTTGTCAGAGACGAGGTGGGTGGGTGAAAGAGAGAAAGACAGGAAAAGCTGACAGCCTGTAAAATTGCTTGATAAGAAGTATATAGTTGTCAAACAGCATGCAAATTTTTGCAAACCCAGGTGTGGCCTTGGGGAGAATCTCACAGAATCAATTCCTTTGGGGTTGGGTTGGGGGAGTAGGGGGCACAATGGAATTAGTCTGGCAGTTTGAAGACCCAGAGCTCCCTCTAGTGGCTGAAGCTGGGTGTCCTTTGCCTTTTTCTTTTTCTCTAACTAAACCTTGCCCCTGCACTGGGTTATTAGCTCCTGTCTCCTGGCCACTTGCCACCTGTGCCCATACAGGATCTCAGGGCAGGCTCTCTAGGGACAGAGATCTCCCAGTCTCAGGAGGGCACAGCCAGGGGCATCCTTGTTTAGAAATCCTGTGAATAGAGTCTGCACTGCTGGGCTGGGCTCAGAAATCTGCATATTTTTTTTTTTTTTTTTAAAAACCACTATGAAACAGGATTTAGTCAACTAAAGCTACCATTCTCTGGATGGCATTCACCATATCAGTAAAGACTAAGGAACTGATGACGCTCAGCAAAATGTGGAATGCTGGTGGTGCTGACAGTAAAAAAACAGCTTTGGAAACCAAAGCTTTATCACAGCTGTTGCCATGAAGATCCATTTCATCTTTTAACCAATCCTCACTGCCAAGAATTTAAAATTAAACACGAAATTAAATCAGAAGCATAACACAGGGATGCCAGTATCAGAGAAATTCATGTAACAGAATAGTGGGTTTCAGGATCTCCAACACATGAACGCACTCACTCCTGTCGGGTTAGCGTATGATGGCTCCAGTGCCTCAGTGGAGAAAGAGCCGCCCTTCACTGTCTGCTTCATTCAGTGCATGGTAACAGGGACGTTAGCAGGTCATGAAGCACTGAATGTAGATATCTGCGTTTTGAACAGGAGCCCAATGCAGAGACTCTTCAGACCAGCACCAAAGCAGTTCGTTACAGGAGACTTGGGCAGAGCTCTGCCCCCAGGAGTCACTAGGTTAGAGGAGGGGATTCTTGAACCTCCCCGGGGAATTGTGGGAAAATGGGCCCTCGTTTTCAACTGTGAAAGGGACATGATGTGAAATTCTGCCATTCAGAACTCAGGTGGCTTTTGCAACTGTTTGCTTGATGGTAGCGCCCCGAGAACAAGATCCTTGAACGAAGGGCCAACCCCTGTGTCCGCAGACAGGCCGTGAGGAAAGCACAGCATGGTCTGCCCCCGAGGCTCCTAAAGCAACTGCAGCTGTCTCCACTGGTTAGAGATGTTATAGACTGGAAGGCCTGGGATATTTTCTCTGAGTTTAGAGTGTGGTTGCTAGGACTGGGTTTGAGAACTTCAGGCTCTTCTACGTTGCCCTTTGGGGCTGGTGATTCTTGATGTCTTTGCTGGAAATCTGAGTCCTCACCGGGGCGGACAGGTGGGGAAGTGCTTCCAGGGCTGAGGATCTGTGTCCCCTTCTCCGGAATGTCACTCAAGTTTTGCTCCTGAGGAGCAGGTGTAGAAGGTCCAATGCTGTGTAGACTCTGTAGTCAGAGCGGATTATTCTGGACCCTGTGACCAACAGGAGGTTCTGGTCACGTGGCTGAGGTAAACAACTTCTGCTCCAGAGACAAGGCAGCTGTGCTGTTGGTATGTGTATGGTTTACCGCGTCTCATGTATGTGGTTGTTGTGTCTGCATGCATGTATGTGCACTACATGTGAACCTGAGGTCTGCATAGTTCAGAAGGAGGCATTGGCTCCCCCTGAAACTGGATCTACAGGTGTTTGTGACCCACCATGTGGTGCTGGGAACTGAGCTCGGATCCTCCGAAAGAGAACAGGTGTTCTTAGCTGCTGAGTCGTCTCTCCAACGCAGCTGAGCTGCTCTTCCCAGTTCCTCTGTGGCTACCGGGCCTCTGGTCGCCCTCTCAGTAAGGTGCTGGGTAAGCTTGCATCATCCAGCATCATTTGTACTGATTGGAACTCCAAATAGCTAGACATCACCTTCTTGCTTATTTTATCCAGTAAGAATATGGTTTTCTTCTGGGTGTGGTCCCAGCACCTAGGAGTCGGAGGCAAGCAGATCTCTGTGAGTTGGAGAGGCCAGCCTGGTCTACAAAAGGAGTCCAGGACAGACAGGGCTCTGTTAAACAGAGCTGTTTTATCTTGAAAAACCGAAAAAGAAAACAAACAAACAGAAAAGAATATGGTTTTGAAATGTTTGCTGTGTAGGGCACTGTTCTAAATTAAGCAGGAAATGGAATGAATAGCCCTTTCTTGTGCCCTTTACCCCGGAGACGGTTGAGTGCAGGGGGTGTGGGGACTCTGTTGTACAGGGTGTCCAGGGAAGGCGTCGTTGATTACAGGGCACTGGAGCAGAGCCTCAAATGGACACATGGACATCAGGGTAAGAATGTTCCAGATAAAAAAGTAGGAAGGCCTAAAAGCTTAGGGAGAGGGAGCTTACTGTCATCACAGCCCTGTTGTGACTTTCCGTGTTGTGCCCTGCCACCCCTTCTCCTGAAGCACCTTGCTTGCTGGCTGTTGTTGCACATGCCCCAGGCTGTCACGTGTCTCCCTCGCGCCTCTTGCTGTGGCCCTTTCCTTCTGCTCTTCATTCCCGTTTCCGGTTTTCAGTGCTAAACCTCTTTTGTTTTGTTTTGATTTGGTTTGGGGTTTTTGTTGGTTGTTTGGTTTGTTTTGAGACAGGGTTTCTTTGTGTAGCCCTGGCTGTCCTGGCACTCACTGTAGACCAGGCTGGCCTCGAACTCCCGAGATCTGCCTGCCTCTGCCTCCCAAGTGCTGGGATTAAAGGCGTGCGCACCACCACTGCCAACCTGGCAGTGATAATCCTTTTGCAACCTGGTTTTCTCACAGAAGTCTTTGGGCCATTCGCTTCCCTGCCACCACACTTCATAAAGAGATTGCTTGGGTGGTTGGTGTAATTCTTCCACGCTAATCTGAGTGGGTCTGAGGCAGTTTCCTGGTAAATTAACATGGAAGGAAAGATGGAACACAGAGAATTTCCCATCAAGCATGTTTCTCTCTCTGTCAGAGCCATGGAAATGAATCCCGAGGATAAGGGATATCTCCAGGCTGGCATCCAAGCCTACATATCAAAGGGTTGGGGCCTGCTAAAGACCAGCTTCTCTGGGAGGGATCTGGCAAGGCACAGGCGCTGTGGGTGCTCCTGTACCCTTGGCACACCCCTGTCCCGCTTCTGAATCCAGAGATTGATTCTGCTTACCTGCCTCCGGAGCTCCTGCCTCTCGGGGGGGCTCTGGGCATCTGCTTGCCAGGCCGAAGCAAACAGAAAATGCCACTGAGGAGAGGAAGTGGGAACTGTGCATCCGCTGCTGCTGCAGCAGCGAGGGGCTCCAGGGCGGTAGAATTTAATGACTTTCACAGAGCTTCATCACCAGACACAGCTCTCAGCACCACCACAGAAATCCGCCGGTTCCCTGGTCTACCTCCTCCTAGGCAGTCGTTTGCCTGAGTCTGAGGGACACCCAGGAGGGTGGGGCAGGTTTTACAGTTGAGTCCAGAGGGGTGAGTTCATTGTAGCCCCAGTGAGGCCGTGGCTAGTAGAACACAGACAGCAGGTGTGGGCAGCGCAGCCTTCCACAGGCCTGGGACTCAGGAAGGGACTGAAGCACCAGAGTTTTAGGTCTGGCCCTGCCCAGTGCTCTTCTGCTACTACAACTCACAAGAGGCAGTCTTCACCTTAATTAAATTCACAGCTGAAGTGCTATGGAAGGTGGTGTGAGCGCCGGGGAGATTGTCTTCACTGTACCAGGAGGAACAGGCAGGAAGTCACACCGTGGCTTCCACCTGGGGAAAGCAGCCAGCAGGCATTGTGAGGATGTGGACTCTGCCTTCACCTGTCCGGTGCCTCCAGGGCCAGCCAGAGGTGTCAGGTTTGCCTCACAGCTCCCCTTCGCTGCTATCCCAGAGTTCAGAGCGGGTTCAGTCATGAAAACTGCTGACTCCTTTTTCCAAGGATTGTGAGGGAGGTAGAAATAGATTCGGAGACAGGAAGGGGAGGGAGAGGCAGTCTAGAGAAAGGCAGCCCTCGCACCCTCATGGCCTGTGCCGCTCCCTTCTCACCTGGACCACCCCTGAGCAGTGACCACCCTGCCCACTGCCCCTGGGCGTAGCTCTCCTTCTCCAGCTCAGCTGCCTGCGTGGTAGGAGCTGAGACCAGCCTGCAAGGCCAGGGTCTGGCACTGGCCCTGGCCCTGACCCTGACCACTTCAGCAGCAAGGCTACTGCTTGCTTCAGTAGGGGGAGTGGTTCTGGCCGTCATCGTTGCTACCCCATACGCTCTTGCTGGGGTCCCTGAGAGTGCCCTTGATTTCACTCCGAGAGACTGAAGCTGCCGACAGCGTTTAGCTGTTAGTGACAGGAATCTCCTAAGTCATTGATGGCCGACTCCTGAGTCCCTGTCTTTGGTCAGGAGAACAGACCGCTTGATGGCTCCAATCACAGGGATCCTCTGGTTGCCGTGAGGCTGTTCTCCTAATCACCCTGTTGCCCTGAATTTGAGATCAGCAGCTTAGAAGAGAGGTATTAGCCCTGAACTCCAAACTTGCCGTGGTATGGATGGTCCAGGGTTGGGTCTTGTAACTTACGCCCTCCGCGTCTGTGCTCTGTCTCCACAGGTAAAGGAAGCCCCAGTGTCACCAAGCGCAGCAACTGTGTCATCTCCTGAGCTGCAGGGTAGTGGTGGGCAGGCCCTGCAGATACCCACTCATCCCGTGCTGTGCTGAGGAGAGCATGGCCTGTACCCTGCACCGGGTTCCACGTCAGACCCTCACGAGGCCTTCTACCCTGCAGCCTCCATCCAGCCCTAGGGCCGGGATCCCAGGTAGCAGGATCTGAAGCGTCTCAACCATTCCGTGTCTGTGGCAGACCAAGATAGCTGCACAAGGAACGCTGTGGCCTTGTTTACATGAAGTAGAAGCTTGCCTATCGTCTGCTCTCGTTTATGCCAACCTGTCCTCAGGTGGGACAAGGGTCGTTCTTCCTGCCTTGGTAGGACAGGATGTCCAGGGCAGCCCCAGCCTCTTGGCCTTTTCCTTGGACTTCTGGTGCTGTCTAGTTCCCCATAATCCAGAAGTTGGTGGAAAAGGGTGAAGAAGGCGATACTCTGAGCCAGTCTTGCTCCAGCCTTGAAACTCCAGGTAGAAGATACAGCTGAAACATCTGGGACATTGGCTATTGTGGCCTTATGGGCACCCATTCCTGCTGGCTCCTCTGAGTGGAATTGGGGCGGGGTTGGGGATACTGCAGCCTCCAGCTAGTGGCAGGATCTGACCGTGAAGAGCCCCTTTTCCTCCTATACTGTCATAGCAAGCCTGGCCTGAGAGCCCCAGGGCTCGCTGGATGGTGCTGTTGAAAACTGGGCCTCCCTAGAGTGCCTTTCTTTTTGCCTGCTCCTTTCAGGGAGCTTTTGTTTACAGACCTTGTGGAGGACGGGGTCCTTGGAGGAGAGGGGGCCGCACCCTGGGACAAGAACATTTGTATTTTTTTTTTCCCTGATGGTTCTTGGCCTTCTTCACCCATTAGGGCTTCCTCAGTGAAATTTCAGCCAAAAACTAGCCTTAGCCTCCTCTAAAGTGTCAGGCTGTTCTTCAGAGCCTCAGTTTCTCTAAAACAGGTTGGCCTAATTGTCAGGGCAAGCAGCTACCTCTCCTCACAGTGCCCTGTCTAGGCTGAGGGAGAGAAAGCATCAACCCAGAAGTCGCCTAACTACAGACTGGGTCAGCCCTCCTGGACAGGCTGAGTGGCAGAGGGGCAGAGGGCCACACAAAAGCCTTTCCAGGCCTCCCAACTAAACTCTGGGTACCACTAGAACCAAGGAGGGACCTGGGCATCTGCAGAGGCAGCTGGTGAGAGACAGGGAGGAGGCGCTGTAGGCTATGGAGGTGGGGGGACACGTAGCGGCCTGTGCCTGTGTCTGGCCTCCCTGCTGGTGGGGAGGAAGAAGGAGACTAATGATGGCCTCAGACCAGAATCCCCCTGTGCCCTCGAGGTTAGCTTCCCACTGTGGCTTCCCAAGTCTTTGTGAGAATTAAACACTTCTGGTAAGTGCTTCCTGATTCAAGGCTGGCCATGTGGCGTGTGCTCGTTCTGGAGGAAAGTGGAGAGGCCCATGGGACATGGCAGTGGCCTGTTACACCCCTGGAAGATGGGGGGTACAGATACCTAGACGGGGGGGAATGGTCACCTGAGGCTAGGGAAGAGACCGGCTCCTAAGCAACTCTGTTGAGGCTATCTTCCCTCTCCCCAGCGGACAACAGCTGGAGAGAGTGCTCTTCCTCACCATGCTGCTTCTCTCTCACTGAGACACAAGCTTTAGTCGAGAAACTTTCAAAGGCTGTTTCAGAAAAGACTCCATCTGGGTGACGGTCAGCTGCCAGCCCCAAGTCCCCCATCACAAGTAGCCTAGTGACCAGCACAGCAAAGTCTGTTGGGAGAGGTGCCAGGCCCTGTGCTGTAGGATGTGGCTCAGGCCGGCCTCCAGCTCCTGAACTCCGGGGTAGTTTGAGCGTGGTGCTTTGGCTCTGAGGTTGGCTGGCTCCCCGGAGGTTTCCTGTCCTGCGACATCTCCCACTTGGGTCCTAGCCACCTTGTTTAACACTTCACCGCCTTGTTCTCCCCGGAACAGGTGTGTTTATGTGCACACATCTGCCGCCTCCCATTCAGCTCTCTCAGATTTCCTCCTGGTCTGTTCCCCTTCTTCCTGGCTCAGCCATGGAAAGTACCATAGGACATACCTCTCTGTACCCAGGAGTGCTTCCCCGCCCCCCCCAAAGCGAGCCAGAGCCGACAGCAAGAGAACCTTCAAACTCAAGTGAGGTGCAGTGGGAATACCCAACTGTCATGGCCGCCGTCTGAGTAAGCACAAAACCCCGCTCTGCAGCCAACAGGCCCTGCCTGCGCCCTGGCTGCAGTTCTCACCTGGCACTTCCCCACACTCAGATCTTCTCGCCTGCCTACAGGGCACAGCGTCTGCCGTGCGTCACTGTATTGCTCTTCCAGAGGCATGGGATTTGCTTCAGAATGACGCCCTAGTTCAGTGAGTTGGGCCTGACCATGGTCGCAAGAGTGCACGCTAGAGAAAAGCAAGAGGTGGCAGGTGCAGGCCAGCACGTGTTCACTGGTGAAGTCATCCCAGGGCAGACCCTCCAGCCTCGTGGAATTAGCCCCAGACTCCCCCCTCCTCCCACCGACGCTTCCGCTTTCCCGGCTTTGGAGCAGGGAAGACACCGCTTCCAGATAGCATACTCTGCCGTCGGGCATGATAGGTGCCCGTTCTTCCTTGGCCAGGCTCTGAGCACAAAGACCACATCTCTGGCTCAATAGTCTCCTCTTACTACCGGTTGGCTAGATGGTTGAAAATCAGACAACTGGGTCCAGCGAGATTGGTCAGTGGGTAAAGTCCCTTGCTGTACAAGGATGGTGACCCAGGTTCAATCCCAGAACCAAGGGTGGAAGAAGAGAACCAGCTCCTGGAGTGATTCTCCAGCCTGCATATGTACATGTGGCGCGTGGGTGTCGTTCACATATACATGGACGAAGGGAAACCAAGAAGGACCTTGAGGTTGGCAGGTTGCCACGAAGTTACCCAGAAGTCATGGGAAAGGCTGGAGTCCAGTTCCGGGGACATCCCAGTGCACCGTCCCTGAATGGCATGCCAGCCATTCGGAAGCAGGGAAAAATGGTTACAAGAGAGAGCAGTGTCGGAAAACACCCAAACACGGCTTCAGAAATGGGTACCTACGTCCTAGGAGATGAGCGAGGACCTGCCGCTGAGGCCAGCAGGCTACGTGGGAGCCTGCGGGAGGAAAACCGCAGGAAGGCATGCCCACTGACCCTAAAGGTAGAAAGCCCATGGTGTGCCAAGCATCTTGGTTTGTGGTTTGTTTTTTCTTTCAGATCTTATATATAAAAGAGATTTATTAGGTGGATATAAAGAGAGAGAGAGAGAGAAGGGGAGCAGGACATGATGAGAAGAAAGAGAGGAAAAGAGAGAGGGGACGCTCCATAGAGAAAGGACCAAGAGCGGTTTGTGGTTCTGGCAGCTTTGACTCCCTGGTGTGGCTCTTGGGTGTAGCGTGGAGATTAGGCGACTGGGTAGGGAAGGGCAGCTCACAGCTTGTCTGCAGTGAATTGTTCAGTAAGTGGATAGTTACTGGGTGCCAGGCCTGGGGACACACGGTGACAGAGAAGTGCAGTGTTTGAAAACAGAGTACATGAAGCGATGTGGTGAGTCCCAGCACTCAGGAGGCAAAGGGAGGCGGATCTCTGAGTTTGGGGCCGGCCTGGTCTACAGAGCGAGTTCCAGGACAGCTGGAGCTACATGAGACCTTGTCTTGCAAGACCAGAGAAAGAAAAGAAAGCAGGGTGATTGCATGCTGCTTCGTGGGACATGAAGCAGAATAGGTTGGCTCAGCCAGAATCCTGGCTCTGCCATGTATGGCAAGGGGCCAAGCAGGCTTATTTTGGCCTTTGGGTTTCCTTGTATGTCAAATAGAGGACACCCACCTGAGGCAAAGCGTCTAGCATGAGAAGATACAGAGTTGGAGTTTCCAGGAATATTTCCTGACAGATTCTCCTGTGCTCCTACCCCGGCAATTAGTCAAATTTATGGTGCGGCACACTGGACTAAGTGCTTGTTCATCTGGAGGAAATGTCAAGGCCCAGGTTTTGAAAGAAGGGAAGGGAAAACCTGCTGACGCTTCTATTTTCTGAGTCACTCAGTGTTCCCCATGTGTCCCATGACCCCACCTCAGAAGGCACCAAACCTAGTTAGTTTCATGAAAATCTCATGTTTCTTGACTGATAGTTTTGGGTGAGATGGACAATTTTAGCTTGTCTGGAAATACAAAATACAAATAAGGCTTAGACGGAAGACAGGATTCTGTACTGCGGAGAAGCCGGTCAACCTGGTGCCACACCATCCCGGGACATCCCCCTCCCCCCCGCCCCGAACTTCAGACTCCCTCAGGTGTGGTCCCCTAGCTTCTCTGCCAGTGGCTGCGTGATTAACCCCACAGCTACTGCAGTGGGAGGAGCCTCCAGCTGTACGGTACCGGATGCTGAGCCGCCTGAGGAGCCCAGGTGAAGGCACTGGTGGAGAACGGCTGCCACCTTGTGGCCAGCTGGCAGCTTGCAGCACACCTCTAGCTCAGCCGGCCGGGCTTCCGGATGATGGACAAGCGCTTAGTGTACAGGGTCAGAGGAGTAAATACTCTGGGCTTTGACCAAGCCTGATGGCACGCACTTCTAATCCCAAAACTCATGACGCCGAGGCTGAGATGATTGCTGCAACTTCTAAGCAAGCCCCGTCTGCATAGTGAGACTGTGCCCCACGTCAAAAAACAAACAAACAAAAAACAAAACAGAAAGCTTAGGTATGAGTGCCTATCGAGACTACAGAGTAGCACTAAAGCAGTCGCACACCATACATAAGCAAGTGGACACAACCGAATTTCTGCAGACTTACAGGTCAGTTCCTAGCACTAGAAATTAATTAAAATGTAAAAGCCCTTCTGAACTCAGAGGCTGTAGTGACAGGTGGCAGGCTGGATTGGGACCACAAACTCGACTTTGCTGGCCTCTAGCCCAGCACAGCCCTTCACACCTGTGTTCCCACTGACTCTCAGTCATCACAGTTGACATCTGTGTCACTGTTCTATTGAAAGGAACTCCTCTCCCAAAGGAAACTCAGGAGCTGTTGTTTTCCCTTCATTTCATCTATTTACAGATGTACCCATCAGGTGCCCTGTGCTAAGGAGGCATGCAAAAGCCTCCTTAGAGTTTTAAATTTTAATTCCATTTATTCACTTATTTAAAAAAACAGAACAACAACAAAACCACCTCACTGAGAACTCATTGTATCTCAGGTACTATGTTATGTATGGTCTGTACCCCAAGGACAAAGGTGTTCTGATGGAGAAGCTAAAGGAACGTGGAAGCCCAGAGAAGGCATTTGACCTGGGTGTGGAGTTCAGAGGAGAATCCGTGAAGGAAGAGGGGGTTCCTGAGATACCCTGATTGAACCATGAAAAACGCAGAGAGAAATCTTTTAAAACCGGAAGCATTAAAGATGGAGCAATTAAGGACACAGCCAGGCTCAGATGCAATACCCGTCCTCAATCCCTGACGGCAACTTGCTTTGGGGAGGGGGATATGAAGCCGTTTTCCCTCACGCCTTGTGGGATTGCCTCAAGTACGCAATGACAGCTGGGTGGTTTTTTTTTTTTTTTTTTTTTTTTGGTTCTAACCAATACCTGTGCCGGCCTGTTCATGGGCTCGCTTCCACCCAGGGCTACAGAGATGGCAGGGGAAAGCTGGAGTGCGTGATAGAAGCCCCTCCTAAGAGTTTAGACAGAGCTTTGAAGAATGCAGAGTCACTGGGCCAGGATGGTGGAGCACGCTGAGTTACAGAAAATAACAAGGTAACAAAGCAGCAGCACAGATCGCACAGTAGAGGAATGAGGCTCCTGCCAACCTGAGGGCTTCTGGGGAGGGAGCCGGGCCTCGCAGGGTGCTTTCCTGTGAGTCTCACATAACCTGGGCAGGCATGTGGTGATGATGGTGGCTGTGGTTTTCCAGCTCCATCAGTTAAAAAAAACAATGTGTCCTTTGGCAATTACTTCATCTCCCTCTGCTGTCTTACTTTCCTCACAAGGACAAATAAACTAATGTATGTAAAATGCTCAGAAGCATGACAGCCGGCTTCATGTCCCACACAGCCACACACCCAGAAAATGATGTGTCCGTCTTTAATATTCTGCCATTACCATCTTGAAAAATCTTTATAATTTTCAAATAAGGATCCTTGGGTTTTCATTTTGTACCAGCCTTATAAATTGTGTATTCAGCCCTGCCTGCAATTTTTTTTTTTTTTTTTTTTTTTTTGCTTTAAAATGTTAAGTCTGAGCTAGAGATGCAGCTTGATGGAATGCTTGCCAGGCATGCCTGAAGCCTTTGGTTTGACGGACCCAGCCCTTGACCACAGGAAGCCTGAAGAAGATGTAGGTCCTTTGTAAGAGCCCACAGAAAGAGATGGCAGGAAAAAAAGAGCATGAAC